ATTACCTAACCTTTGCCCCCCCCCCCCCCCCGCTTCCTTCACATTTACTTGGCTCGCACCACCGCGTGTTCATAGGTTCAATAGAAGCACAGAAATGACTCCTGCCTATAGCTCAGCCAGCCTTGCGGGAAGACCACATTCATTGGTCGGGAGCCTGTCACGTGACAAGCAAAGTGCCCCTTACCTACCAGCGTGGCCTGCCACAGTCGGGTGCCCAGGCCTCAGCTGAAGAAAGGAGTTACGGTGATCTCTTTGGTGAGGAGTCGCCTCCGCCGCTATCAGATCACTGAAAACCCAAAAACAAAAAAACAAAAATAAAAGGTCACGGGGGTAACGGCTCCGCCCCAGAGGCACACAGAGTGAGGAGCGTTATCTCCGGGGGCGGGAACTGTGCGGCAATGCCGTTACACGGCCGGCTCTGCGCTCTCGTTCTCTTCGCTGCCGGTCACCTCCGAATCCTCTCCCAGCAGCTGGCCACGTTCGCCGAGGTACAGGTCACGCGGCGCTCCCTCCACGACAGGTCACGCGGCGCTCCCTCCACGACAGGTCACGCGGCGCTCCCTCCACGACAGGTCACGCGGCGCTCCCTCCACGACAGGTCACGCGGCGCTCCCTCCACGACAGGTCACGCGGCGCTCCCTCCACGACAGGTCACGCGGCGCTCCCTCCACGACAGGTCACGCGGCGCTCCCTCCACGACAGGTCACGCGGCGCTCCCTCCACGACAGGTCACGCGGCGCTCCCTCCACGACAGGTCACGCGGCGCTCCCTCCACGACAGGTCACGCGGCGCTCCCTCCACGACAGGTCACGTGGCGGGGGGGAGGGGTTGGATTTCCCTGCTGTGTAACCTGATAGAAGCCGATCTGAATGGAGAAAAAGCTGTCAGCTTTTCCTGCATAATACTAGGTGAGGCTCCACCCCCCTGACCGCAGGTCCCTGGTGTATACGCCCATGCCGCCTGTACATCCCTATAGGAGGATGCGGCTGCACATGGCTAGACGCCGACCAGAACTGGTGCATACATGTAGACAGTGTGAGACCAAGTGCGGGCACCCAGACCTGCACGCATGTGAAGGTTCAGGTCGGCATGTAGCCACGTGCAGCTGCGTCCTCCCATAGGGATTTACAGACGGCTACGGGGAGCAGTCTCTGCACAGGGGTGCGCACCGTATGGATTGGCACGCCCATGCGAGAGAGACTGAACTTTACTTTTCCCGGCCGTCAGAAATTGTCCCCTGAAATAATGACGCCATGTTGAAGCCGATACGAGATCTCGGCTACCGGGACACGTCATTAGAATGTAAATAAATGCGACATTAGAATGTTCCGGATCTTATAAGACGCGGCGTGATGCGAGGCCATGGTAACCTCCGGAGGAGCTGTGGAGGCGTTGGGACGGTCCATGCCGGCCTCAGCGAATGTCAGGGGAGAGGAAGCAGCGCCCTGAGCGGTGTCCCTCGTGCGTCCTCGTCTCTTCTCTGAATGTCACTGCGAGGGAAGAACAAGCCGCCATTGTGTCATTACCTAAGTCCCCCATCTGTGACGATAAAGGGGCACAAAAGGGCAGCGGAGGGTCAAATAACTGAGCGCGGCAGCTCTGGCCTTTCTTCGCTAATGCCAATACGGTTTAACCCCTCGGGTGCTACGAGAGGTTACCCTGCATAGTGGGGCTGTGTCTGGGGAAGTGACCGCTATAATGGAGCCTTGTGCACATGAATGGCCATTATTTCCCCGTTTCATCACACGCCGTATGCTGCAACCTCCATGAATGAGAGAGAAGGAGGAATGCTGGAAAGGTTACCCGTCCTCCCAGCGTATACTACAGAGCCACGCCCCGCGTGTCTTCTCTATGACCGTGTATGAGGTGAGCCACACAAGGGACCCTCTGATCGTACAATCCTATCAAAGGTCTTAAAGTCACTTCCTTCAAACTGCCAGCCGCAGTCATGTCCTGGTAGAGGGCTCAATGGGAAGTGGTGGAAGGGTGGCACCCGATAGGGCCTGCGTGGTTCTGTGGCCAACGTCAAATCGGAGCAGGAACTACCCAGACCCCCAATATAAGGGGGCACCTCTCCCACTGACCCCCAATGCAAGGAAGCACCTCTCCCACTGACCCCTCAATGCAAGGAAGCACCTCTCCCACTGACCCCTCAATGTAAGGGGGCACCTCTCCCACTGACCCCCAATATAAGGGGGCACCTCTCCCACTGACCCCCCAATGTAAGGAAGCACCTCTCCCACTGACCCCCCAATGTAAGGGGGCACCTCTCCCACTGACCCCCAATGTAAGGGGGCACCTCTCCCACTGACCCCCAATGTAAGGGGGCACCTCTCCCACTGACCCCCCAATGTAAGGGAGCACCTCTCCCACTGACCCCCAATGTAAGGGAGCACTTCTCCCACTGACCCCCAATATAAGGGGGCACCTCTCCCACTGACCCCCAATGTAAGCGCCATCTCCAGGATCAGGGAGGCAACGGCAATAGTAAATGACAGACTGAAATCAACCAATCAAACGTAACTCCATTCAAACAGCCGACACCACTTATCAGATATTTTTTTTTTTAACTTTTGTATAATTTTTTTTTCACTTAACTTTATTGCTATAACACAGAGGCTAACAACCCCCGCTGTCAGCGGTTCTCAACCTGTGTGTGATTTCTGCTGTGCTAGGTGAGAGTCCTCCTCAGCCCTCTCCCAGCGCAGCAGTGTCAGTTCTCCCGCCACGCCACCAGATGTCGCTGCAGCAGCCGCGTCATCCCTAAATGTTACCGTTGGGGGGGTCACCACAACTTGGCAAATGTTACCAAGGGGGAAAGGTTGAGAACCAATGCCCTATGTGATAACGTTTGGAGTCTGCTCTCCAATTCAGGAGATCGAGCACAGCTTTGTGCAGCCCAACAGCGGAGACAGGAAGCACGGAGAGTACAGCACTCCGGCCTCATTGATCAAATGGAGCAGATCGGGGAATGGACGTTCTCCGCTCTGCTCATCGCTCTCCATCTTGAACTCACTGCCATAGTCTGGGTCCCCCAGAAGAACTAGGAACCCCGAAAACCACGGCGGGGAGGGGGGAACGGGCAAGCAGGCTGCTGAAAGTCATCTGGGTGGCTGACATGGACAAAACGAGCACCGGCGCCCCCACTCTACAGTTACCTCTGCTTGCCCCCCGCAGGGCTAAATGTAGGACCAAACAAATCACCTGTATGTCCTGGGCGTCGGGCGATAAGAATTGTGCACCCCTGACGGCTGCATCCCGGTAGACGGCCACCATCCCGGTAGACGGCCACCATCCCGGTAGACGGCCACCATCCCGGTAGACGGCCACCATCCCGGTAGACGGCCACCATCGCGGTAGACGGCCACCATCGCGGTAGACGGCCACCATCGCGGTAGACGGCCACCATCGCGGTAGACGGCCACCATCGCGGTAGACGGCCACCATCCCGGTAGACGGCCACCATCCCGGTAGACGGCCACCATCCCGGTAGACGGCCACCATCCCGGTAGACGGCCACCATCCCGGTAGACGGCCACCATCCCGGTAGACGGCCACCATCCCGGTAGACGGCCACCATCCCGGTAGACGGCCACCATCCCGGTAGACGGCCACCATCCCGGTAGACGGCCACCATCCCGGTAGACGGCCACCATCCCGGTAGACGGCCACCATGCCGGTAGACGGCCACCATCCCGGTAGACGGCCACCATCCCGGTAGACGGCCACCATCCCGGTAGACGGCCACCATCCCGGTAGACGGCCACCATCCCGGTAGACGGCCACCATCCCGGTAGACGGCCACCATCCCGGTAGACGGCCACCATCCCGGTAGACGGCCACCATCCCGGTAGACGGCCACCATCCCGGTAGACGGCCACCATCCCGGTAGACGGCCACCATCCCGGTAGACGGCCACCATCCCGGTAGACGGCCACCATCCCGGTAGACGGCCACCATCCCGGTAGACGGCCACCATCCCGGTAGACGGCCACCATCCCGGTAGACGGCCACCATCCCGGTAGACGGCCACCATCCCGGTAGACGGCCACCATCCCGGTAGACGGCCACCATCCCGGTAGACGGCCACCATCCCGGTAGACGGCCACCATCCCGGTAGACGGCCACCATCCCGGTAGACGGCCACCATGCCGGTAGACGGCCACCATCCCGGTAGACGGCCACCATGCCGGTAGACGGCGGCCATCCTAACAGACGTCGACAATCCGGGGCTTTTGCTGAGATTTGTTACCCCCGGGTACAAGAACAAATCAGCATCCAAACTGTCGATAAGCTTACCATAGAGAAGGTCTGTGAGTAATAGACAGCAGAGCAATCCCAGCATCCTTTGCAGCTTGGAAGATCTTGCCCTCCACGTCAATGCTCACAGCGCTTGTGCACTCGTCCAGCAGGGCGTATTTTGGTCTGGAAAAGAAATAACCGGATTGTTAGAAGGGGCCGTTATCAGAGAGCGCTCCCCACCCCCAGCCGGCTCGTGTACCCGACCCCTGACAAGAAGGTTTTCAGCTACAGACACTTCAGCTTAAAGGAGAAGTACGAGGTCGGGGCTTTTCCCCCATAGTTCTCCTCAGGGTCGGGGGAGGACACAAACTAGCGTCCTCCTCCCGTCACCCTAGGCTCAGTATATAGGGAGCTACAGCTCGCGGTATACTGAGACGCCGCAGCCGGAGCGGATCCCGACGTAGATGACGAGACCCGCCGAGCTGCGTGAGTGACAGCTGACTCCACCTATCTAGAGGCTGTACCCTCCCCCGTCCGTTCCGCCAGTCAGCGCTGGAGAATCGGAGCAGGGGAGGGGGGGGAATCCCTGCAGGGAGCCGTGAGTGACAGTTTCATTGTCACACCTCATAGTTCTCCTTTAAGTGCATTGATCTGTTTTCTCAGTTTTATTTTCACCGGCTGGGTAACCATATAAAAGAATTTGGAGCATGCACAACGCTAACAGACTAAATCAGGGGTGCCCACAAGGTCGATCGCGTAGCGATCACTGGTAGATCGCCATGTCCTCTCCTCCCGCCGCTTCTCTGGATCCCCGCCGCTCTCCCCAGCGGGGATCCGAGAAGACGTGAAGGAACCGGCGG